AGCGTCCAAAACTAAGGGACAAAATTTTAAAACCTAATATTTGTTAGAAATAACAACTGTGAAAAGCTGAAATTTTTGACAACTGGTAGTCGTTATCATCCATAATAACATACTAAAATTTGAATCATTTGCAAAGGATAGAAAAAAATTATAACAATTATTTATTTATTTTCAAAATAGGATCGTCCAAAAGTAAGGGACAAAATTGAGAAAAACAATGTAAACAGTATGCTATATTCAAATTTTTTGATTTCCTCTAAAGAATAAGTCTTACTTAGTCATTTGTAAACGTTGCATCAGCCGGCACCATGGCGAAACGCCAAAAACTTGATTACTCTGTGAGACAAGCTATTGTGAAGCTACACAAGGAAAAGCACACCATTAGAGAGATTTCAGAGAAAGTGAAACGTTCCAAGAGTGTTGTAGGCAGGGTTGTTAAATCCTACAATGATACTGGCAAAATAGTGCTTTTAAAACCGGCAGACCCCGCAAAACTTTGGCAAGAGAAGATCGAATAGTGCAGCGTATGTCATTAAAGGACCGTTTTAAGTCTTGCACAGAAATTAAAAGGGTTATGAATAGTACCTCATGTGTTAATGTGTCAAGACAGACTGTTTGTAGACGACTGCAAGAAATAGGGCTGTTTAATCGAACCCCAGGGAAGAAACCACTTGTTAGTTCGAAGAATAAGAAGAGATTAGAGTTTGCAAACATGTATGTAATTTGGACATATGAAAATTGGGCAAAAGTATTTTTCAGTGATGAAAGCAAGTTTAATTTATTTGGAAATGATGGAAAAAACAATGTAAAGAGACCTATTGGTGAAAGATTAAGTGAAAAGTGTACTAAGAAAACTGTCAAGTTTGGGGGCGGAAGCGTCATCGTATTTGAAATGTTTTCTAGCCAAGGTACAACGCCTCTTGTCCGGTTACAAACTCGTGTAAACGCGCAGATCTATAAAAACATTGTTCAAGATCATGTTGTGCCAATCATACAGAATTCAGGTTTCGATAGGGCTACCTTTATGCAAGATAATGCCCCATGTCACAAGGCAAAGGTGGTAATGAGTTACCTTAGCGAGCAAGATTTGGAAATTATGGATTGGCAACCGCAAAGTCCTGACTTAAATCCAATAGAAAATCTTTGGAAGACCTTAGGAGTGAAAGTTATGGAAAGAAATCCCACTAACATGGAGGATTTGTGGGTGAAGCTTCAAGAAGAATGGTCTAAAATTAGTATCGAGGATTGTCAAGAACTGATTCGTTCTTGTAGTCGAAGATGTGCATCTGTCATTGAGAGCAAGGGCTCATTTACTAAATATTGGTTGTACATGTATTTTTATTGTTTTTTTGCCGTTTACATTGTTTTTCTCAATTTTGTCCCTTACTTTTGGACGTTCCAAATTTGAAAATAAATAAATAATTGTTATAATTCTTTTTCTATCCTATGCAAATGATTCAAATTTTAGTATGTTATTATGGATGATAACGACTACCAGTTGTCAAAATTTCAGCTTTTCACATTGTTATTTCTAACAAATATTAGGTTTTAAAATTTTGTCCCTTAGTTTTGGACGCTACTGTATATGTATGTATGTATGTATGTATGTATAAAGTCTCACTAATTTGTTATTTTCATATATATGTACAGGGTTTATCAAAATACTTTTACAAACTTTGTGCCGGATTCGACACTTCAAAACAAGGACAAAGATCCATATAAAGATTTCTAGGCAAATCCTTAAGTTTAAAGACATTTTCGGTAGATGGCTCTGATTGCTATGTAGACAAAGATATATTTGCCACTCATGTACATTTGTGCCTAGTCTGTCTTCAACGTTTTAACGTGTGTAGTTGTGAGTTAACTGAGAAATGTTCCGTTTAACAATGGTACGATATTTATATCTTGAGCAAGAAGATATGATTTTTACATATAGCCGCGCGAATGTAATGGACGCAAGGCTTCATGGCTGTATCAGATGGCGTTTCCAGACCGAAGGCAGCCGAGTCATCCAACCATTGCTGCTGCTTATTGTCGCGTTGCTGAGACAGGATCCATGGTAACTCAAACTATAGATCGAGGAAGACCGATATCCGCTCGTACGTCTGGCCGCGAAAAACAAATTCTACAGGCTGTCAGGAACGATCCAGACATCAGCACATGCCAAGTGACCCAAGTATGTTGTACACCTCATAATACCTCATGGAGACTACTTCAAAAGCAGCTCCTACATCCGTATCATTTGCAACGCGTAGAGGATGAACTTCTACCGAAGGTCTATTGCATAAATTGTCGATCCATTTTTGTCTTTTTAGTCTTGTTTAGGGCTAAGGAAGCATTTGAAAGAGATAGATTGATAAATTTACACATCCAACATTCGTGTGCAGATCGGAATCCCCATGGTACAATACAGGCTAGACACCAGTATCATCTTACGAATAATGTGTGGACTGGAATTGTAGGTGACTGTCTGGTAGGTCCATATATTTTCTCAGCACTTCTTATAGGAGCTGTCAAGAGAGTTTAATTCGAATACACTTCCAGATCTCCTAGAGAATGGTAATACGAAGACGAAAATGGTTAAATCATGATGGGTCTCCAGCACATTTTAGTCACATTGTTCGCTGGCATCTACCATAAAAAGTAAATAGGTAGGAGAGGACTGGTTCTATGGCCTGCGCATTCGCTTGACACTAATCATTTGGATTTTCATCTGTGTGGACACCTAAACAATTGGTTTATGCAGCAGACATTAATAATGCAAAGACATCAACGTGTTATGGAGGCCTACGAAACCATTCGACACCGTGTGAGAGTATTTCAAAGGGTCGGCTAGTCAATGATGTGACTGGTGCACGCATGTGTAGAAGCAAGCAGAGGACATTTTGAACTTGTGTTATGAGTTGCTGTGTTGAGGTACAATGATGGCCTTTTGGACATATATTTATATGGACATTTTACTTTGCTTTTGTGTCAGAGACCCGCCACCAAAGTTTGTAAAAGTACTTTTGGATTGTATCTTATGTTATACATTTAACATCATCTACCAAAAAATTAAAATAAAACTTATAAATAACCCATAAAACGAAGGATTTGCGGACATATGCTTATACGGACATTTGTCTTTGTTTTGGTGTGATGAATAAATAATGGGTTCAGTTTAGAATTCCCTGAAGGTTACCTGGATTGACAAACAGCATAAAAAGGAAGTTGAGAAGAACAGCTGAAACGTTGTGATAAAAACAATAAAGATGAAGGCACTGGTTAGAATATGAATAATATAAATAAAAATAACTCCTCATCCCAGATGTTTTGACGGGAAAGCATATATCATTGGGGTTAAAAATAAAACTGCTATTGCAAAAAAGCCGAAAATAATTGCCAATCCGAAAAATAATATCTAAATCTTTTAGCATCAAGCACATAAACATGGTTAACTGCTGAAGAACGGCGTTTCAAAAAATTTTGCAAAGTGATATTCTCACATACATAAGTCGATCCTATTCATAGACTAGCCTTTGATTCTTAGCGAAGAAATTATTCATTTATGAAATGCGTAGTTTAAATCAGTCTAATTTGAACTCAGATAAGACAAGATGCCTGCTTTGGTAAGAATGTCAACACACAACAGCCGCCGACATATTGTATACTACGGTAAGAATAATACAAAGTTGATATTGATAATAATACCAATTTTGAAAATGTTGAAATGATTTTACGTATTTTCTATACATCTATGTCTACTTCTACTTGCATATTACGTATCACTTCAGGACATAATGATCATAGCTCTCAATATCTTGTAGCGCTAATAAGCATTATTGGTTCACTTAATGTAGCACCCTTCTCCGTTCTGTTATCGATTTGTACAAACTACAATTTGTACAAGCAATGTAGGTCACTCGATGTTTTGCTCCGATTCTCTTGCCTTCAAATCCTGTAAAGTGTCAAAATATTCAAGCCCGCTTTCCTTATTATATCTTCTAAAAAATATGTTGTCACTTTCTGATTCTAAGTGAAAGTTTTCTTTTTGTTCCTATTCTTCGTCTATGACATTCTAAGCATGCTTCACTAAACCCACACGTGTATAACCCCAATATGTTTGGGATGCTCATTTCTCAATGCTTCGTTCGCAGACAGCGACTTAGCGGTTAGGCGATGAAGACTATATCATTGGAGGTATGTAATATATAACTAAATATTTGTACTGTAGTGGGTCTATCTTGGAGGTGGCTATGTACTGAAGTTGGTGCATTCAGAGCATAACATACATTTTGACAGATATCAGGTGAGATATTCAAAGCCCGAGAGCAATGAGATTTGGGCAAAATTGAACAAACACATGTGCAGAAAAATCTATAGCCACTGTCATATAATGTTAAACAAACTTATTAAGAATCTCGCCATTGACGTCTGAAGAATTACATATACTTAGTTAACCGTCTGTATATTGTTGAATAAGACCCATTCATTGATGTATAATTTGTATATTTTCATTGTTAAAAACTGAATATGTTTCATGTCTGAAGTTCATAGTTGTTCCTTGGCTTTTATACTTTGCACGGATTTCAGCCTAAATATGCTTTAAACTCTATGTTTCCATATCATTTGGTCATAAAGATTTAAATAACGGTAAGTGACTTTACATAGATTTGTTTGTTTTTTTTTTTTTTTTTTTTACGGCGTATCAACCTTTTGGATAGTATTTGAAGCCAGATTATATATTTTAGGTTGTAAGAATATTTTGAAGATAATAAGGATCTGTTGGTACAAGTCTTTCTATGTGAACCATAGCTGGGGAAAAAGAGATGAATTAATATCTTTTCTAAGTGTATTTGAGCGTAGAAGATAGCAATCTTGACTGGAATTGAAACTCGGCTCTTCGATTTCCAATTCCAAGCCTTTACTCATTACACAACCAGCACATCCAAGCTTATAGCACCTGGTATTTCCAAAAGGTCACCCAACTAAGTACTGACTAAACTCAACGTTGCTTAACTTCAGTAATCGTACGGGAAATGGTGTTTCAACGTGATATGGATGTAAGATAGATAGATAGATAGATAGATAGATAGATAGATAGATAGATAGATAATATCAATAAATTGTGTAAAGATGTATAAAATGAAGAAAAGATGCTTAGATAGATAGACAGACATAGTGAATGAAAGAAATAGGCTTAGATATGTAAATAAATAAATCGTTCAAAGATAGAATAAAACGTTTCTTAGATAGATCTGAACAGGCTTGAAGAAATATGATTCATTAACTGATTGATTGATATCAACAGACAGATGCTTATATGAGGGGTAGAGATAAATACTGCTTTGCAAGAAACATCATTGTTATTATTATTATTATTAGTAGTAGTAGTAGTAGTAGTAATAGTAGTAGTAGTAGAATTATAAATATTGTTTGGGCATAGCAATCTCATTTATAAAATGAACCTAATGTAGAACTTTGTTTTCGAAATCACTTTATCTAACTTTGTCATAGTGCGGTAGGTATTTTGTTTCTGAAGTTTGTTCGTAAGGAGATGCATTAAAGTTTACATAATTATAGGTGTTTGTGAAAGAAGGGAAAAGAAGAAAACAAGGGACGAAGAATGTAATTTAAAAAGGCAAAGAAAAAGAAACGAAATAATGAAAGAGAAAGTGAGAAACAGAATAAACTGATCAAAGAAGAAAATTGATAAAAAACGGCAAGGAAAGTGAAAAAGAGAAAATTATGAGAAAGAGAGTGGAGAAAAGAACGTGAAAAAGAGAAAATTATGGGAAAGAGAGTAAAGAAAAGAACGTGAAAAAGAGAAAATTATGGGAAAGAGAGTAGAGAAAAGAACGTGAAAAAGAGAAAATTATGGGAAAGAGAGTAAAGAAAAGAACGTGAAAAAGAGAAAATTATGGGAAAGTAGAGAAAAGAACGTGAAAAAGAGAAAATTATGGGAAAGAGAGTAGAGAAAAGACTGCTGAACAGAGGAAAAGAAGAACTAAAGACAATCAAGCACAAAAATAAAGAGAGAGAGAAACAAAGAAACAAAATAATGGGAAGAAAAGTGAAAAATAGTACAAATGGACAAATTAAAGATAGGAAAAGAATGAATAAGGAAAATATCGGAATAAATACGAAGAAAGTTAGGGAGAAAATACTACGAAAGAAAGAGTAAAAAAAGAGAAAAATGTGAAAATCGAAGAAAGAAAAGGATTAAAGAAAATGGAACCAAAAGGACTAAGAAGGAAAAGAAAAATACTGCAAAGGAAAGGGTGAATAACAGTAAAATCTGATAGACGAAGTAAAAGACAAAGAAAATGGAGTAAAAAGGATGAAGAAGAAAGGAAAAGCAAAATATAGTCGGGAAAGTAATTTTTATTGAATAATCTGAAAACCGAAAAACAACATAAATAAAATAAGCAAAGATTGTGAAATAAAACGTAAAGAAATGGTGCGACATTGGCTAAAGAAAGGAAAAAATGAATGAAAAATACAAAAATGACGACGTCGAACGAAAGAAACTAAAATTTTGGACTGAATTAGAAAGTATTCAGGGAAGTTAACAAAAATAAAGAAATATCAAATACAAATAAAGGAATAGCAATAAAGAAACGTAAAAATAATAACCTAACATATTTTGAATAAAAGCATAAAAAAATCTGAAAAAAGCGGATAGAAATAGAGAAGTGACATAAACTGAAGAAACAGTAAAAGGAAATATAATTAAGAAGGAAAAAAACAACGGAAAAGAAGGTTAAGTCAATTGACATATATATATATATATATATATATATATATATATATATATATATATATATATATATATAGCAAAGATGCAATTTGTCCATGTAGCGAGTGTAAATCCTAACAGTGTAAACTGTCTTCAATATTCAAGCATGCGCACAGAATTCCGAAGATATATTCAAGGATATTCTCTTTTCACGTTCAGTTGGTCAACTATTGTGTACAATAGTGCCCTTGTTATTCAATAAATATTTGCACGAACAAATGAGGAAATTGTATCTACTGCGCCCGATAGAATTTCTAAGTACCCATTAGAATGTCGTATGTTTCTTTGTGTTTTTAGGTGATGTAAAATTGGTATCGTGTATCAATTTGCCATTTCTTTCTATGCAAAAATTCCTCAATTTCTCCTTCTGTATCTCTGTCTCTCTCTTCACACACACACACACACACACACATACTAACAAGAGATTTCGTTTTGAACTTGTATTTAGACGACGGCTAAATAAATGTCCATTTAGAGTAATGTTGGTTAATCTATTAACCGTTTTCAAGGAGTTTGTGATATTGCAAATGGTGTCTAAGTTTTTGAAACGTGGGCATTTTACGTGCCGTCAAGGTCAGTATACTATAGCCGAGTTGATGTTGTTAAGTGCCTGTGCTTTGGTTTTCTTGATTAAAGCTTCTATTATTTGTAGACTTGTTTTGCAGTCGCAGTTTACTATTATGTTTGTTTTCAACATATGCAACATGCAATAAAAATAAAATACACACCATTAACTACAAAAATGTGTAAAAGTTATAGAAGATATCAACTACGAACAAGGCTATAATGTACTGGCAGTTTTCGGTGATCAAAGTATGTCTATCTCTCAGAAATTTCCACAGTATTTTTAATCGAACAATGAAAATCTTGAAAATAATAAAAATTAGCCGAAAGCACACCAGACAAACAGCTATTTGGACGCTTTCTACATACACTATGTTCAAAAATAAATTACTCATGCAAGAAAAACAATAAAAGCCATAAAGGAACTTGTCAATAATTTTTAATGAATTATGTACATTTTTGCATATACATACATAATGGTAGACTTTCTTGTGTGGTAAACTGAACGGTAGTTAGTCTTGACGCATTTCCAAGAAAGTGGATATTGAGAACGAGCATTTACAAATGTAAAAATGTAAAACCAGGTAAAAAAGGAAGGTTCGTATGGCAATCCCAGCATGCAAACCCAAGACCATTTGGCCAGAGAGATGCAAATCTACCCACTCTTCCTACCAACGTTGGTGCCACCAAATCACTCTTGCTTTAATATTCGTTCAAGAACCCGCCAGAAAATCTTGCTTGTCTTAATAGATGTTGGTAAATTTGAATAACTTTTGATTTTTTCTTTTCATCTATTCTTTTTCCATCTTTTATTCTTTCTTTCATTCTTTTTTTAATTTTCTCTTAATATTTTCGTCCGTACGTGTACATATATATATATATATATATATATATATATATATATATATGTGTGTGTGTGTGTGTGTGTGTGTGTGTGTGTGTGTGTGTGTGTGTGTGTGTGTGTGCGTGTGTGTGTGCGCGCGCGCATACGGTCATAAATTACTTGGACATTAATTTATTGTTAATTCCCAATGCTGCTACATTTAATGGAAGCCTTTCCTACTTGGTATGCTCAGCATGAGTTTCACTTGACGTCTTTCGAGAGACGATATTGGGACATACCTTCTCCCAATGGTTTTTTTCGTCCTCACGTACATGAGCGAGCTTCTCTTGATAACTTTAGGTCTCGGACCGGTATGATGTTTCTGACCAAGGAGGAGTTCTGTTACCTTGACTTCTGGACAGATGCGGCATGTACACCCGGAGCATCACGAATTTATCTTGTGCCTTCATTAAGGGTCCTGGAGGTAGACGTTTTCTGGGTTTTGGCGTTACCCGCCTGATAAACTTCGAGGATATCCTATCAGCAGGTGTGGCCTCGCGATGCTATGATGAAGGGTATTGCTATGGAATGATTCTATCCAAGGCATTTATACATGCAACAACTGTGAGTGTGTCTGTCTCACAGTTTGCTAATCTTCCACGAACCAATACACACATGAACCCAATTAAAATGAAAATAAATTAAATTAGCAAACCCAAACTTAAAAATATATACCCCACATATACCATCTCCGATACCAAGGTGAAGGGTTTATGTTCCAACTTTTCAGAAATGGAACTGCATCTTCAATCTAAACCCGAGCGCCTGTTACTATCTGAAAGTTGTATTAATGCCTCAAGCAGACAACATAAGCTTACAGTTCCAGGTTACTCGCCTTTTAGCAAAACACAGGCACGTAAATCGTCACAGCCACGGACCGGAGCCTACATCAATTATGAGTTTCCCTGTGGCAGGGACACAAAAACGAGGATCCTGATCTCCCGTGCTTCCGCATGGCATTTATCCATACTAATACATTCGTCTTTGTTTTCTATCGCCCCCAGAACAAAGGGAATGTAATCTTCGATCGAATATCTGAGAAGATTAATAATATCCTCACTCAATTTCCCTCGGCTAGCGTTCATATATGCGGTGACTTCAATATCCACCATTAAGAATGGTTAGTCCACTCCAACAAAACCGATGATGAAGGTAGATATTGCAGAGACTTCTTCATCGCTTATGAACTAACCCAGATCATCGAAGAACCTACCCGTGTCGTGGACACGACGGGTCATCAAGCGAACTTCCTAGATATCTTTCTAACCTGCTGCCCTGATGAATGCTTAGCAAAGGGTTCACCCACTCTAGGCACGTCATGACATTCCCTAATCAGTGTCAAGATTGATGGCAAACATAAGACATTCTCTGATGTAGCGTTCCATAGAAGGATATTCCACCAATGCGAAGGCAGAATTTCGATCTTACATGATGGAAGCTCCTCGTCAAGTATTCTGCCTCCAAAACTGCTACACTTGTCACTGAATGGATCCTTTCTATAATATAGATTTTTATACCCCCACCACAAAAAAATCCCAGCCCTTGACACTAAGAAAGTTACAGGCCAAGACAAAATTCCATTGGTTGTCCTTAAGAAAATCAACCCGGAATTATCCCTAATCCGAGCAAAGTTATTCAACCACTGCTTGAAGGAAGAATCCTTCCCAAGCCTGTGGAAAGTGTCAAGTGTATGCCCGATTTTCAAGAACGCGGGCGTGCGATCTTACCCCTTCCAGTACAGACCCATCAGTCTCCTCAGTATCATCAGTAAGCTTTTTGAGGCCATAAACGATGAGAAAGTAGTCAAGCACCTAAAAAAGAACAACCTCTATAAAGACAAGCAATATGGATTTCGATTTGAGCAGAAGCTGCCCAGAGCTTACTCTGCAGCCTTAGTAGAGTCCAAAAGCGACTCTGAGTGTGGGTGACGAATTATTCTCCACCCTCCAATCTCTCTCCAATCTCAGGCAAGATTTGGCATGCTTCTCGCTGCTATATGGCTATTTAAATGGAAAGTGCTTGGACGAACTACATTCCCCGGTCCCGCCAAGCTAAACATTCACGACAATGACACGCCATGCTACTTAAACAGTAAGAAACCACATCCACATCCTCTCCGTACTTCATCGGTAAAAATAATATCCACTCGAACAGCTTCTTCTCGCGAACCACTCCCCCAAGATGATGTTTCTGCGACCACTACAAAATTAACCTATTCAAGTTATCTCGCACTCATAACGTAACCCTCTTCCACGAGTGGCCTTGTAAATGGTGAACTTTACCGTAAAAATGAATGTATATATATATATATATATATATATATATATATATATAGAGAGAGAGAGAGAGAGAGAGAGAGAGAGAGAGAGTCTCTCGTGGGGAGCTTAAGACATTGAGTCTTAAGACATTGTGAAATAATTTTTATTTAGAGCTGGAGTAAAATACATTGTTACAAATAGTGTCTTCTATATTAACACATAAACTGAATGTTGTAGTGTTACTTTCCTTGTTCGTTAGCGACAAATAGCAACAACTAAAATGATTTATTTACTAATACAAAAAGTTGCAATTCATTTGTTTTATATATATATATATATATATATATATATATATATAATCTTGCATTTGGGCAGCAATCCCTCTTTTCGTTAAAGACGACTGAAATTAAGCTTTTTATTTTATTTTTCATGTGTTCGTATATGTGTTTTCTTTTCCGGACATAAAATATATAAAAATTGTCCAAATTTTCTGTACAACCGAACGCTTTCTGCTATTCTTTTAGTTTTGATGATTTTTTAGTTGACGTTATTATGTGTTAGCCTATTCTTTTTTTATTATTATAGAATTCATTATTTTAATCATTTTAATTATTTTAATTATTTTAATTTTTACTTGTGGATGAGGCAATTATGTTTGTCTGCATACATACAAATGTATTGTACTTTTTTAGAAGTTAAAAATTAAAATAACAATATCCTTGATCATGGCTAAAAGAATAACAGAAAGCGCTTGGATATGTAGAACGTTTGGACAGTTTCTACACACTTTGTCTCCAGAATAGAAAACACTTATAGGAACACAAGAAAAATTAAATAAAATGCTTAATCGCAGTACCTTGCCAAAGCAAAATAGCTTGTGAACAATTTTACTAATGTTTTTCCCTGGGTATTAATAATTTATAGTTAGAACCTATAATGAATACCAAATGTTTTATAAACCTCTAATTAATACCATATTGTTGATTAAGGTTTAATTAATGATGGGATTTTATTCTAAACTGTATAATTATTAGTTGCTTTTATTTTATGATGAATAATACCATATTTTACTGTAGTTATTAATGGGTTAAAGAGAGAGTTTAATCCGCTTCTGTGAACGTAGCTCTTTATTTGGGAAATAGATACAGACGTACTCATGTATATGTGTACGTATTTGCATGTCAAATAGACACGAAGAAGACATAATAGATAAAGTGAGGTTTGTTTCAATGTGTGTGTATAAATGTTTAACAAATACTGACTGCATAAAGTGTATATGAGACAGTGTGTTTATAAGACAGAAAATGTGTGTGCCTGAGCTTTGTATGTATAAATTAAAGAAAGTCTCTTTCGTTCACTTTCTTTTTCTCTTCTCACTCTCTACCACCCCTCCCTCGTTCCTTCTATCTCAGAGAGTGATAATGTTGGTAGTGGGGGGGGGGATTCCGAAAAGAAGATCGACTCTCCACCGACCAATAAGTTTCCATAATTCAAGAAAGAGAATAAGGGACGAAACGAAAACACTTTCTAGCTATAATTGGAATGTTTTGTCTTTCAGCGGCAAAATGTACCTTCAAATTAAACAAAGAACCATAGAACGGACTCCTGTCGGCGACGACAAAGAGACAAAGTGGGAAACACTGCCAACAAAACAGCTTGTCAATTGAACTTGTCTGTTTTTATTAGTCTCAACGCGCTACTGATCGTGGACGTCCGGGCGCCGATTGGTTCTTTAAATTTACTTCGAATGGAAACTACTTTCACTTTCAATTTCAAATAACCAATATAATTATTGTGTACAATCTAATACAGATGCGTAAATATGTAATTTCCTCATAAATACAGAATATGAATTACAAATACTTATGTACACAAATACAGACATACACACATATATATCTCTGTGTGGGATGTGTGTAGACATAAACAAAATGCAATATGGGTGGGTATACACGTTTTTATTTTTTCCTAATATCATATCCCTTCAGTGGCTTACATCACGTTAAAATACTGGTTACTGTGCGATCACCGAAGTCAAGCAACGTCAAGCCTGGTCAGTACCTAGATGGGTGACCGCTTGGCAATATCAGGTGTTGTAAGATTGTGTGTGCGGGTGGTGTAATGGATAACCCTTCGGATTAGTCAATCGGAGAGCCGAGTTCCACTTCAAGTTGGTTCCGTTATATTTATTTACGCTCAAATACCCTTGAGAAAGGTAGTTGTTATTATCTTCCACTTCTCCCACAGCTATGGGTTAGTTAGTAAGACCCGTATCACTAAATCATTATTATCTCCAAAAATGAAAAATCTTACAATCTAAAAATATTTTTTTGCTTTAAATATTATGCAAATGGCTGATGAGCCGTAGAAAATCAATCACTCAATCAATCAATCAATCATGTCTCATCATGTATTAGAAGATCATGCATTTTGTTGTTTCTTTCTCTTTATTATCAATGGATTGCCACACTTTCTTCGGTAAGGTGGTAGAGTGGTTTCCCGTTCCATCTCCATAGTCATAACTGATCCTTTCTGGGCGGATTCGATTCTACCCAGACTTGAATAGTTTCGTTTGCCTTGCTATATAACTCACAGATTATGGGAAGGAAAGATGGATTAGTGCGAAAAAATAACGTAGCAGACTACGACGAAATTTGAAATCGGTTCACCGATTTTACTTTCCGCACTGATGATCGTTAAGCGCCCCACAAATCTTCATGTATATTTTGTGTAAATTCATTTTTCACCGCATATGCACATAATTGGATTACATGTACATCGCAAATGAAAAGAGTAAATAGATTCAGAGAATATATGATAGGTTAGTCTTATGAAAACACCCGATTTTTTAGTCAGTAACTCTCGACCAGCCTTAGTTTCTCTAGTGAGGTTGTTTAATTGTTATACTAATTCCTTATAATAAGGCAGTATGTATGTATCGAGAGGGAATATACGCATACATACGCATGCTGACAAAAACACACACAATACAAAAAAATGGAAATCGATCTGTGAACACACAGGGGTTATTAAAAGATAAGAATATAGATATCTTTCTTCACCCTTTTTCGGACCAATCTTAATTGTTTTATTATCACGGAAGAACTTTCTCACTGCCAGTTCAAAGAAGACATTTGTGTCATTAGCACACACAAAAAAGAATGTTTAACATCGAAAAACATAAGAAAAATTAATTCCTTTTAATTATATGCGGAGAGGAAGGTCGCGAGACCAGAAACCCGTGTAGCAAAATTATGGAAAATAAAGCATCATATATTTTTTTTAAAAAATCCACATTACAAACAAAAACGTTTGTGGTTTCTCTCTTCTTTTCAACATATATATATATATATATATATATATATATATATATATATATATACGTGTGTGTGTAACATTTGCTATATTTTTAGGCAAAATGCTCAATATCGGAGAAATTTAATTTGCACCTATAGTCTGTATTGAATCTATGGAATGTGTGTCATTGTGATCTTCAGACAAATATATACATAAATATATATATATGGCCAAATACTCTCGTTTTCCGAGCACGCCCTATAATATCACCATACATACATCTATTAAAAACCGACAGAAATTTTATGTCGATTAATTTTAAATATCGTCTTTTCCAAATTACGAATGACCCTTCGCAATAAAGGAGAAAATTCCACCAAGAATTGCCCAAAGTTCAGGAGACAACGAAAAGTAATATAGTCCATATACTAAATACTCATAGGGTAGAATACAAGCTAACCCTGTGTGGAATTCAACAGAAGAAAACAGCAGGGATCCGATTGTTAGCTGAATTTTTTTTTAAAAAGATAGCTAAACACCTCAGGTGTATTTCTATCTGACTAACAAACAAGCAATTCTAAATTGTACCCTTGATTTAATCTACGGATGTAGGATGTACCCGTTCCCCTGCCGGTGTCTAATGATATCGTCTATTTATTTTTTTTTATTATTATTTAGAGCTGTTATTGCTTGTCCGTTTCAACTGTGTGAAAGTACACATTACTCAACCCAGGGATTGATCTCACAATCAAATTTACAAACCGTAGGACAATTTACGTGTGAACTTGTATCTTTAAACCTTACCTGCCTGCTAATTAGGCTGTAACTTCGGAAAAGCACATGACAAATTAAACACAATGCAGAATCTCTTAATCAAAATACTGAATTATCGAAAGCGGTACGAAGACGTCATGATAACCAAATAACATATTGAATATAAAATGTTTCAAAAACATATTATTGATGATTCGGTAGTGTATATAGGAGCTCGTTAAGCATGTCTTTCTGTCATTTGGTGGTTGTGAATTAAATCTTTCGATCAGGTAGTGAACACTGGTTTAGCAGAAATGTACACTCTCAAGGTCAAAATAACACGATAATCAACAGATAAAAAAATGGTTCAAAACAATGAACACCAGAAGATAGTCAGAGTATACTTGTCTGAAATATTATAACAACATGTATAATAATCAAGGATGTATTATCAGTTTGCCAAAATATTTTATCATCACCAAATTTTTTTCGAATAAATGGAATGAGTAATATCAAAAATTTCAATGTGCATTATTGATTTTTTAGGTAATGTTTGTCATATCTACCTGTCATTTGAAACATAACTCAATGTCATAAATGACTGTATATTTACTTGATTTCTTCTTTGTATTTTTCGTTGGAAGGGAAACAGCTGAATATCACTTACACCCAATCATCCACAATCCGTGACATTTTATTCTCTTGCTCATTCTAACTTTGTGTCCTTCTGTTTTCGGTGTCATTGCTATTTTCAATTTATCTTTATAAAAAATCCCATTTCATTCAGACGACTTAATTCAGTCCAGACCGACACAGTTCCTGTTCTTTTTGTCCATTTGTTTTTCATTTGTTTCATAGTATATATATTTTTTCAAAGCATTTAACGACTTTGACAAGGTCATGGATCTCCAAAATGTCCTGTTCTTTGAAGCCTTAATAGAGTTTGTCTTTTTGTTATTTCTCCTAATCCTTGTTCGCCATCCATTCACTCAAGTTCACTAAGTATGGTATGAGTTGTTTTTCTCTGTCCCTTTGGCATTCTGCTCTATGAGTATTTAGTAAAATCTCATCTAACAAACTATTCTTGAATCAAATTCTGTTTTGCCAAAGTAGATATGGTTGAAATAATATCCCATTTTTCTGATGATGCTGTTTAATCAAAAAAGCAGGCCAAAATAAGAATTTACATATGTTCGTAACATTTTGTTGGGGGGTCCTCCCCTTTTTACACAAATGGACTCACCCAGTATATACATATACTACTGCTACGTGAAGACACGAGAGAGAGAGAGAGAGAGAGAGAGACCGAAGAGGGAGAGTGAAAGGTTGAAGGTAACAGACAGACAGAACGAACGTAGCGAGCAAGAGTCACAGTGAGTGAGCACGTAGACTCAGTAAGAAGTCATACAGCGATACTTCAATACCAAAGACTGTATACATATTTTGCTACTAACCCGTATTCCTGGAACTACTAACCTGCATTACCAGTTTGTATTATTAGATTAATACATTTATTTTCCTATATTCATTCTTAGCGTTTGTTATTTATTGGTACCGGATTTTATCCCGGAATCCACAACACATTTTATGCAGCATCCATCTAATTACTTGCAGATGTTTTTTTTTTCCGTGGTCCTTGTGCCTTACAGCAGGAATTACTCTAATGTAGACTGGAAGATGCGTAACATGATGTTGTGCCTTAAATTTGATTTCATACATTCGACAGACAATAGCAGGCTGACCGAGATTGGGCTCTTCTCACTTCAAAGTCCTTAAGGAGCTAGGCATCTAATTAAGTTATTTGAAGTCTTGAACGATTTTAATTGGCGTGTAATCTAATGCATGCACTTGGCATTGTGTTCCTTGCGCCGTTATACATTAAAATTAGTGTCCTTATTATTCTAGCGATGGTTTCAAATGAGAATCGAAATGGGAAGATAAATCTTAATCTTTGAATTATTACTCCTCCTAACCAAATGAGCATCAATAGTGTGATCTACGCCATGAATTTGCATAATCATACTCGATATCTAATGCTTGTCGATGATGCCAGTGTTACAGCAAGTCTTATAAGATCACTAATACTCTTTCCAGTATTTTTTGTTGAAATTCGACATAATGTAACCTGAAATATTCAACGCATCCAATTCCTAGTGACTTGAGAATGCATCATTATGAAGCAATTATTATTGAAACATGTCTCAATCCTAATATTTTTTCTTGTTCAGAGATTTTAATGGAGTTTTTATTACTGAAATTTTTATCTTCAAAGCCAAATATTTAATCTGGTGGAACAACCAGATCCGGTATTGTGACTTCGATGGTGTGGTCTATCTGAATCTCAAAATTCCAGAGTATCCTTTTCTTATTATTTCTGAAGAAGTGCATTGATTTTTACTCAAACCATGATCGAAACCAAATCTATTTCATGGTGATTGTTTTGAAAGTAATTTTACAATGCAATTTGCAATCTTATCACTTGCTACCCAACGATCATACTTTCACTTATACTGTGTTTCATCCTCTCCGTCTCGGCCGAATTATCTTGGATGCAATTTGTTCTGGGCTGCAATTCTTTTTCCCATTTAGGTGTCTTGTTTATACCTATGTCTCCAGCCTTAGTCTGTATATTCTGCATATTCAATTTCCATAATGTATTTTCTTTTACAATAATCAGAAATTAAATTATTTTATCTCCTTTTAGCTCGGAACACCGTTTTTGAATTGCTACTATATCAAAGAAAGATTATATGTCTATTTTTATGTTATTTGTTTTATTTTAAAATAGCATTTTCCAGTTGATTAGTTGGCATAAATATTTTAAGTTTTTTTTTTTTTTTCGTGATTCGAAAAATAATTTTCAATCAGAAAAGAAATTATTTTCCCTCGTGGAGACTATTTATACACGATTTAAACGACTTATATATATATATATATATATATATATATATATATATATATATATATATATATATATATATATATATATATTTTGTGGGAATATAGGCAAAAGGTAAAATTTTATATTCGATCGACATTTGGCATGAGT